CCCCCCCGGATTAGCCACCTGCAGCTCCATCCCACTCCTTGCCCTGTTCTGGCTGGGCAGCCGCTGACCCAGCCCTGCTCCCTTCCTCACAATGAGGGCCTCGATCTGCAGCCCTATGCCCCTGCCCTTCCCTACTGCATACTTATGGGCTGGATGCTGCTCTCCAAGCTGCTAGACTGCATTACTGGCCACATGCATGCTGTGCCTGTGCAAACACGTGCAGCATTTATTGGTGACATTATCGGCTACACTAGCCAAAAAAAGCTGATGGCTGATAATGTCAGTTTTCCTCTTATCGGTGCCAGTCCGATATGAACTGATTGGTGCACCTCTAATTGGCAAGCATCCTACGTGCAGGCTTAAGCCCAGAGGTCTTGGGATTTGGATTCCTTCTACATTGGGCTTGCTACAGGACTTTTTTGTGGCTGCTTGCTTTAAAATAAAGAAATGTTTTGAGTTTGACCCAGTTCTTACTTGCTTACTGGCAACTTACAGTAAGCATTATAAAGTAAGTAAGAAGATAACTTATTTGCATACTTAGTTGCATATTTTTTCAGTGTATGATAGTTTTTCAGCAAATACAATAATTTTGAGCTTCCAATATAATAATTTTGTATTTAAGACTTGGCAATCCTTGCACCACTGCTCTAAACTACTTTTCTTACCCGTGCGAGACCTGCACTGCCCAGGGAAGCTGGCTCATGTGAAATGGGCTCAACAGCGGTATCCGATGCAGGAAGCGATGCTGGCAAGAGGAGGCTTTTCCTTGTATGTCTTTGTTTTAATGGGAGGCTGGTACTAGTGGTAGGTAAAGCATCCCCCACCCCATCCTCCCTGCAGCTGGTCCCCCTCTAAGTCACACAATGAGCTTATCATGTATTTCAAGAACTGAAAAAAGGAAGGAGCCAGAGGAAGGGATTTCTACTGATGTGGACGAATCTCCTCACAGTCAGCACATTCCCTTGTTGCGTGGTCTGACACGTAGTTGCCTTCTCCCTGTCTGGCCAGCTTTGTTTCTCCACTAGAGGAGTGGCTAGGGCAAACCAGCAATGTACAGTATTGTTCTATGTGAGTATAGCCTAGTGACCACCAGGGCTGACTTGCTGTAACCCTGTGAACTGAGATGTGAAACCCACAGACTGAGATGTGAAACGTTAGAAAAGGCTGTGGCTTGTTTAGAATCCAGCATATTGTAGGCTTAGTAACACAGAAGTGTTCCTTTTTGCATAACTAGCTCTTGGCCAATTGGTCAAGTTCAGGGTTTTAATCATTGTCTTTGAAGCTCTCCATAAAACTGGCCCAGGAAGGACTATATCATCAGGTATAATCCTGATTTTTCTAGATGGCTTAATTCCAGTGCAGCCAGCAGGTTGTCAGCAAAAGAGAAACTTGTGTATGTGGAAGAATGATATTGTTTTGGGGAAGAGCCCACTCATTTGGATCTTGCTTTGCAGTAAAAACAGAGACAACTGAAATTTGATGCCTTTAGAGCAGTAGTGCTCAAGTCTCCAACCCTGTGGACTGTGTAAATGGTGTGCAGCCAGTCTTTGTGTGTACGATTGTCCATGGGTATGATCATTAGGATGCCTGCCTGCTCTAGGAGCAAGGCAAAACCCGGCAGTACAATAGAAGCTGTCCCAGGTGGGCCCTCAACTGGGGAAGGAGCCAGGGAGCTGACCCAGAAAGTCACACTTGCTTCTCTTCTGAGAGCCAGGTCCAGAGTTTGCTAGATCTGATCTGAGGGCATGCTGTCTCCCACCCTTCTTCCTGGCTCTGCCTTTACAGCTGCTTGGAGCTAGGTGCCCAGGGGGGAAACCTGGCAAGAAAAGAGATGCTGTGTCTTCTCACTCCTCCTCACCCCTATTCCTCGTCTGGTCTTGGGGGCTCCAGCACCTGCTGCCCCCTGAATGTGCAGCACCATTGCAGCCAGGATGAGGCTCCCAGTGCATCTTATAGCCTGGCTGCCAAATCTGTCCAGCAGTTGGTCCCTCGTGCCCTTTCATGCCCCTGCCCATCCCACTCCTTGCCTTTTCCACACCACCACCTTATATACTCCTCCATCTCCAGGACTCTAGTGTGTAGCACCTCAGCCCCTACCAGCTCATGGCAAGGGGCCTGTCTGAGGGTTGTTTTTTGTTTTTTGAGGGTTTTTTTTAATGTGTATCTGGGGCCAAATTAGCCAAAACTAATTCCAAATCCAACAGTCGGGAGCCATAAGTGGCCCTACTACCGGCAAACATCCTCCACCCACACCTGGGGCTTCAGATATTTCCAAATCCTTTGGCAGGCATCCTACTTGCAGGCTCAAGCGTGGAGGCTTGGGGTTCAGATGCCCCCGACTTTTGTTTGCCCTTAGCCATAAGGCGCTTGGCGCAAGCAAAGCAGTGGACTCCCATTTCCATAAAGTGGGTTTAAAGCTGCTACACCTCAGCAGGTACTGAACCACGCCAGAAGAGCAGTTCTCCTGGGGGAAAACTGCCTTCATGGACACAGATGCATGGTATTTCCCCTGCCGGGTTAAGAAACCACTATGCTTGTCCTGAGCCTTCAGGAGGTCTGAGGGTTGGGCAAAGGGAGGCTGAGCCCCCAGGCTGTTGTGGAAAGAAGCAGGAAAATAACTCAGGGCTGCTCACTTCCTGTCTCCCTCTACAGAGCAGTGTCAGGCAGAGCTTGGGGTGCAGTGAACACTGGACTTAGCCACATACAGCACAGTATGCCGGGTAGGCTGGGATGAGGTTGCCAGCCAGTCTGAGGGACCCCACTAATTGCACTCCCCCCAATCAGCTCCACAGCATTGAGTGGGGGCCTGTGTTCCTAGTGGATGTGGAGGAGCATTTCTGGATGCCTGCTCCACTAGTTGTTTGCCATTTGTACTAGGTGTTCCCCATTGAAGTCCCCAATTTAGCCAATTTGGCTAAAATATCATGATGAACATAGTTAGTTTCACAGTTTCTAGGGTCGGAAGGGACCTGAGCAGATCATCTAGTCCGACCTCCTGCCATGGCAGGAAGAGCACTGGGGTCAAATGACCCCAGTAAGGTGGTCATCCAACCTCCTCTTAAAAACCCCCAGGGTGGGAGCCTGCACCACCTCACTTGGAAGCTGGTTCCAGACCCTAGCCGCCCTGACCGTGAAGTAGCGCCTCCTGATGTCCAACTTAAACCTTCCTTCCGCCAGCTTGTGACCATTGTTCCTGGTCACTCCTTGCGATGCTAGGGGGAACAGGGACTCCCCCAGCGCCTGCTGATCCCC